AATTCATTGAGGAAAAGGTTTTTAAAAGAAACCTTTCTCTTCTGTGTGTACATCAGTACATGTATGGGACACATAGCAGAGTGTTTTTGAATACAAAAATAAAGTAGTATTTTAGGTAATAATATCTCACAAGTGTGTTTAAGTTAAATTGTTTAATTCAAACTAGTGTTACAGTGAGAAACAAACACTGACCTGGTGTATTAAGAACAGTGACTTTTTTTGTGGTATGAATAAATGATTTATACATGCACATTAAGTCTAGACCTTTTAGACTAATGCAACTATTACTTTGGAGAGAATGACATTATGGGTGGGTTGCACCAATAATAATTAAGCTTAAATCTAGTTTAAATCAAGGTTTATCTAACAATTCTGTTGCACCAATCTTTAAACCTTGTTTAAAAATAAACAGGTTTACATTTAAACCATCAGTTTGATTCTGGATTTATTTTATATTTAGGATAGATTAAAATGAATCCTGTTGCTACATGACTAAACTCAGATTTAGGGATGCAACAATACCATTTTTTCAGAACCGATCCGATCCGATCCCAAAGATTCTGAGTATTGGCCAATTCTGATCCGATACCAGCACAGTTTTTTTTTTTTTAAATCAATGTAGAATTTCTATACTTCTGTGGGTTGACCTGATCATCACTCTTGTGTGTGTTAAACACAATCTGCTATATATAGACAACTTCATTTGAATGAAAAATAACAAATGAAACCATATACAATTATAATCTATGACAAAAATACTATTATAAACTAGGTTAGTGGATAATTCAGCAGAAAAAGTTATTCTAGAAAAAGCATGTGCGCAACATATGATCGATAGAACAGAGCAAAAAAGACTATTGATAATCTTTCATTGCGCAAATGTATAATACTAAAGTGTATGACTCCAATACAGTGCGGCACAAAGCGCTTATGCGCATCCCGAGTGCAGAATGATGTGCTTGAAGCATCGGATCGATGCATCCCTACTCAGATTTAAATCTCAATTAGGGATTAACTTTAAATTTACAGGTGAGGAGATTTAAATAAAATAAAGTGCACCTACAGTTACAATATGTGGCTGATTGAACCAAGACAGGAACTGTGGGTGAGTCGTCAGGTCTCAGAGAGGTGTTTATTACAAATAGAAATGAAAATTAAAGCGCATTGACTTTGCAGCCCGTTGTAAATTTGCGTCTGCTATCGAGACCGGGATGTGGATTCGTCACTCATGCCGGTGCATCTTCGGCATACGACAAAGAAAAGAAGACAGGAATATGCTGTACCTATAGCATTTAACGGCAACAGTGATGATGAAGTGAGCACCAGTGATCGCGGCTGCGCCTCTCGTTTCTCACGCCCGAGAACGAGATTAATGTAATCAAATTAAATATAAAACCAAAGCTATTTGCCATTGCCAGGGCATTGACGTTTTTATAGAAAATATTTTATAGTTTGTTACAGAAAAACAAGTTATGCTCAGAGTCCAGAGCCTTGATCATAACATTATAACAGGCACCTTCCGAGTAGAGACCTGCACTATCGCGGGACATAACGCAGTAGAGTGTGGCGCAGGACAACACTTGATGGGCGAGTGTGGGCGGGTAGATACTCGTGTGTGTGTGCGGGATGCGGGAGAATAAGGGTGTATCACACTAGGCAATCTTAGCTGTGCCCGAGCACGTCTGACCCCCAAAGCCTGGTTCGTTTGACTAGTGTGTTATCACTCCTTGCCGCAGTTCGTTTAGCCGGCCCTTGCTCGGTTGGAAGAGGTGGGCCAGAGCGCGGTTCACTTGGGCTCGGGCGCGGTATGCATGTAGTGTGATCGCTCCGTGCCACGCTCGGTTGGAAGAGGTGGGCCAGAGCGCGGTTCAGTTATATATAGATCAGTGAGTGTGAGCGCTAACTGCACCCGAGCGCTGAACTTCTGATACGTGCAGCATGATTGCGTGAACAGTTCTGAGCGGCAAAAGTGATAGATCTGTAAAGCAGTGAGAGGGCCGTGTGTGTTACCGTGTCCCAAACGACTCAAAATAATAAACCACAAAGTTAACAAAACGATGCACTCCACTGTGCTGAGCGAGAGCGCTTCTCTGCTGTCTTCACGTGCTATTGGAAACTTCCTATTTCCCACTTATGAAGTTGTGAGCACTTCATGTGAGCACTGCTGCAGTCTTAGGCCCACCCCAAATGCTCTCATTTGTTGAGACGCGTGGTGACACCCATCCCAAGCCAGTACTGATCAACATCCCGCCCCTCCCGTGACCCATGGTTTGTGTATTCAGAGCCAGTGAGCATTGGACTTTCATAATAATAAAAAAGCACGATAAAATAATTGTCGGCGTTAATCAATTAATGTTTTAACGCGATAACGCATTAACTTGCCCAGCCCTAATTTAAATATAGTTCCAAGATTATGAAATCCGTATGCACTGCCTCAAAGTTTTCATTGCTTGCTTGATCAGCTGTTTGAGCAAGGGTCTCACTACGTAGCAATTTATAAAGACTGCTGACATTTTACAAGTTTATTTCCTTTATCGACAAAAGCAATTTATGTCAGAGACATAAGGAATATTAACATTGTTACTGTTTAATTCGAATGGCAAATATATCATGGTGGAGAAAATTAATCGTAGATGGATTTTTTAAATACAGGTTAGAATTCTAATCCCCGATTTGTTCATCTGTGTTTAAAATGAAGTGGTAATCGATTTAAAATAAAACCCTGATCAACTAATCCTTGATTAGCTCTAAACTTTGCTTACATTAATCCTTGTTGGTGCAACCCACCCTAAGTGTCTGTTCAAGGTGGCACTCATTAAGTAGAGTGCTGGATGTTAGTCTTTTAATATGAGTCCACTAGCATGTGTGCATACTGTGGCTCGCTCTGCAGGGGCAATGGAAAAGATCAATGTGGCACACCTGACTTGCCGAGTCCTCCCTATAGAGAAGCTGTTGCTTTAATTAAATCGCTGCGGAATCGTGCGCAGCTCGCCGGAGCGAAAAACGGCCAAATCCCCTCCTTTGAGAGCCTGCCAGACGCCTTTGGATCTCCTTCATTCTCTCCGTCTATTGAAGGGTATAAAATGGGCAGTGATAAGCGAATTACAAAAGGCATCCTGGTGGAATAGGAAGGGATATTTTTCACAGAAGCACAACCTGGATTGATTCTGATTGATTTTCCCAAACCACCAGTAACAAGGCTTGTAAGCAAGCACGCATATGCACGCACACACATCTCGCTCACCAGAACAACCTTATTAAACTTTGTGTAAAGTATTTCCTGGAATTGAATTCAGTGGGGAGCTTGCTGTGGGAGTCTCTCAGTGGGCTTCTCATGCATACTGCACATACATCCTGAATGTCAGGATAGTGTTGGATGATGTTAGAATATCCTTTTATGCATTATTTCCCTGTAATTCCTAAATGAATTAAATTTGTTTCAGTGGTGCAGTTCTGTTTGTTATGGAAGATGCAAGCTGTTATTACAAATAGTGGTGGAGTTTTATTTTAATTGGGGCTGTGAATCAAAAAAAAAAAAAAAAAAACCTCAGTTTTCTGTGATTTTAATAGTAGTTAATCATGTTAAGTGCAGTTAAAGGGATAGTTCACCAAAACATTTGAACTATTCGGTCATTAATTACTCACCCTCATGTCGTTTCAAAACCATAAGACCTTTGTTCATCTTCGGAACACAAATTAAGATATTTTAGATGAAATCCGAGAGCTTTCTGATCCGGCATAGACAGCCACGCAACTACCACGTTCAAGGTCCAGGAAGGTAGTAAGGACATCAATAAAATTGTCCATGTGACATCAGTGGTTTAACAGTAATTTTCTGAAGCTACAAGAATACTTTTTGTGTGCAGAGAAAACAAAAATAATTACTTTATTCAACAATTTCTTCTCTTCTATGTCAGTTTTTGATGCATATTCATTAGAGTACCATAACGTATGCGTGTGGTGCTGCTGACACAGGAGCCGGTGTTTCACTCGAAAGTCATTTATTTACCATTTACTTTAATCTGCCATCAGATGTTGTTGTCATAATGTGTTGCTATGGGTTGCGTCTTGCTTTGGACCTGACTGACTGGACAGACTGGCATTCTGCCACAGCGAGCTTTATGCTTTCTAACCTTGTTTTTTTCTAGGCTTGATTGTGTTTATGGGGTGCAGTCTAACATGTGTTAATGCTTTGTTTAAAAAAAAAAAAAGATGATATCTCGGTTTACATTGAACTTTCAGCTTCGTAACTTTGCAGATATTGTTTATGCTCAAACAGCAACATTACACACTAACTAACATTAAAAAAGTGAAAGTGAAATTGCAATTAATTCCACTTTTTCCTTCTTTGTTGCAATTATTCTGCTTATTGTACATATAAAATACAAGACGTTTATATCAGTAGTCCCATATTCATAATTGTGACCTCACAGTCGGTTTACAATATCTACCATTGTAACATGTTTACATCTACCAATGTCTATTTGTATATATGTATACATACATATACACTATACACACTGTAGTAATTGTTATTTTTTATTTATAAATGTTTTTTTTTACATTTAAGCCAGTGGCCATGAGAAACTCTCTGCTGATCCCTGTATAAATTGAATTGATTTTAATAACTTTGTAACTTTATTATACTTGAAGTGTGCACTAAACCCTAGAAAAATACAAGTATACTCAATATTCAGTGACTTGAATCAGATTGTGGGTGCAAAAAAACATGATCCAGACATCCCTGATAAAAATGTTTTTAATGTATTTTTTTATCATTTATTAACAATTACAGAACATGATAAAACTTAAAACAACTTTTAATAAAAAATGTAATCCATGTCAATGTAATCATATTTTAATTAATAGCATGTTAAGCATTGCTTTTATTGTAAAATAACTCCACATGATGTTTCTCTCGTTTTTATTATAAAGTAGCGTCTTTTTGAACTCACCAGCTTCTATGCATATTTCATCTCTTTTATTTTTTACAATTTTAGAGAAAACGAAGTTCTGAAGGTCCAGCTGAAGAAGTATGTTGGAGCTGTCCAAATGCTGAAAAGAGAAGGCAGCCAAGGCAATGACGGTAAGGCAGTGTTCTCATACCATAGCATGTTTAACGAAATGTGGCCACCTTGCAGCCATTTTCATATACTTGGTGGTTTTTTAAAACTTGTAACCAGATAAAACCACCTAGTTAAAGTCAGATACATAAACATGAATGATTTTGTGGAGGAAAAAGGACTGTTAATATTTTTCAGTGTAAAAACCCCCCCACAGTTATCTGTGCAGTGATGCATTGTATCTGCAGACAATCCAATCCCCTGGAGGGTTTAGAAGGGACCCAAACATTTTTGTTAAAAAAAATTGAAATATTGCGTTGCAGTTGTTCCTTTGCGTCTGCAGACTATTAGCATGTGTGTGATGAATGACATGACATCCCTCTGTGGGATGCTGTCATATGTTTGAACAGCCTGTGTCTATAATTTCACAGTTTTTTTCTGCAATTTGGTGGGAATTTCAATTATCTTTACATCATTTCATCAACAGCTTGCATCAGATGAACATTGTAAGATTTTTCCATGCAGTAAGTTTAGTGTGGTAGCACGGCTCTCATATGCAAAGTAAACGTGTGCCTTACAGGAGCTGAAATGCGAAGCGTTTATCAAAATTCCAGTGTGGGTTGTTTGCGTTTCAGCCCTTTCGATAAATCCAGATAACTGGGTGATGCACACCCAGCAACAATTGGTTGCGAACCTTTATGACTGCATCTCTTTAATGGATTTGACAAACATGCTCATCTTCACAGATCAGCAGTCGCAGCTCTCCCAGCTCGTCATTGCATGTATTACAATACGTGATACGTATTACAGTATCAGTCAGATCTGTGTGTGGAAGTGTGGTCCCACATGAGAGTAAGCCTCAGAGAAACCCCAAACGGATGCCTAATAAAGAGTTTTATACGGCCGGATCATGCTGCGTGTGCCGGGTCTATTATGGCTCCATTGTGGATGCACCGAGCAGCACTATTGTTGCAAATTTCCCCATTTGCTGTCTATCTGGCTTTCTCTCTCTCTGTTGCTGCAAGAAATAAAACTAGAAAAATAGAGGCGACCACATGCGAGTCTAATGCTCCATTCGAAAACCCAGTGAGCTGCCTATGGAGGCTGGGTTTTAAACCATTGAAGATGTGCTCCCAACTTGATGTTAGGCATAGGCATTCCTTGCCTGCCTTCTTTTTAATCAAATATTATGACGTTTTAGCAACATTTTATGATATCATTACATGTATCCTTCACAGAATATGCATTCCCAGAATGCATTGTGACCAGCTGTAGTGATAAGATGAATCTAAATAGGCGAACAAGAGAAATGCCATTGTAATTTTTTAAATTTACGATTATTGAACGAGTATTTATGAATTGAAGTAGTTCTTTGTAAATTAATTATTTTTCAAATATTTATGAAAAATAAATTATACAATTAATTTAATAAAAAAATTGTTTTTAATTATTTGAAAATTAATTTAATTTCAAGATATAAACTCAGAATTCTGAATGACTTTCTCACAATTCTGAGTTTACATCTCTCAAAAAAAGGTAATTGTGACTTTTTATCTCACATTTCTGACTTTTATTCGCAGTCACAAGTTATATCTTGCAATTCTGACATTTTAACTTGCAATTTCAAATTTATCAAGAGAAAAAAAGCCTAAATTGTGAGAGAAAAGGTTGCAGTTACCTTTTTAAATTTTTTTTCCTGTGGTGGAAACAAGCTTCCATACTCAGTTAATCGAATTTGACTTTTATTACAACATACAGTTTTAAGTAGTGCTGTCAAACGATTAATCGTGATTAATATATATTTTGAAAATATTTACATGTATTTACATGTATGTATTTATATATACACAATAAATATACACAGTGTACACCACACGCATATATTATGTAAACAAAAACTTTCATTTTGGATGCAATTAATCGCGATTAATCGTTTGACAGCACTAGTTTTAAGTAAATAAGTTTCATTTTCATTTTTTCAGTATTAGCGTCAGACTGTTCTATTTAAGTTTTCTGCATGCAACACTCTTTGTATGGTGCGCTGCCTATGTAGGTACATAGGCACATATGAGGTTCTGAGACTGTTAAGGTGCTGCCTGTGTAGACTGTAGACAGCGAGGCAGCTCACTAGATTGTAGAACAGGGCTTAAATGATTCCTCCCTCCATGTCTTCTGGGCTAATGATGTGTCCGTACTGTACTCTGACTTTGATGTTGAACAGCAACTGGAAAGGATGGTACGGACACATCAAATTGATATACAAGCGCACAATACGAGACTTTTTCATGTTCTGTCAGACTGTGCGCACATGATATGAGCTCTTTTGAAAGTTTTGCTGTAAGATCATGATATGTTAAAAAAAGAATTCCTTGCGTCTCCCCAAAGTTGAACTGCTATCACGGTATTGCGAGTGTTGGATTAGAGCATGCAATTAGATAAACCCTCGCTCCACCAAAATGTGAAATTGAAGAAACTTTTTCATTCCCATATCAAATATCCTTTTATCAGGCACTGGAAGTGAACAGGAAATCATGCAAATGAGGAGAGGTTAAGTGTCTTGTCACTTGCAGAGGCTGCAAAGAGAGCAGAAAAAGCTGGGGGTTTAGGTTTTTTGTTTCTGTTCTTTTCTCCAGAAATGTGGGTCAAAGGGAGAGTCATCAGTTCTGGGATAACCCAAGTTGAGAGAACCCTACATTTGTCTCTTGTTGATGGATGGTAGCATTCGTTATAATATAAACGTATCTGTGTAGTTAGAAAAAGGAATGGGTCGCTGTGTTTGACTAGTTGTCCAACAACCAAATAGTTAATTAATGTGGTCAGCAATTTTATATAGATTATTTAGCTTTTTCTAATTAGCATTCTAACACACTGTTGTTTTTTTAGCTGACAGTTGGCACCATTTCAGAGAAGTTTCATACTTTTCTAGCTTTTTTCTAACTCATTAACTCATTCCTTATTTAAGGACTTTTGCTATTGGTAAGTGTGGCTTGGCATTTAGTAGCAACTTTTTTTTTGTTTAAAGCAGGGGTTTGCAAACTTTTCGACATGACATGCCATTTAAAATTTTTCTGGTTAACCACTGTGCCAATATCACCTCCCCCTCCTTATTTTTTAAAAATGCATGCTGTATTTATATATTACATAAGCATTTTTAAATGATAAGAAAAAAAATCAATATTTGATTTTCATTTAAATAGTTTCTGAAGCATTTTTTCATAAATTGTTTTTTTTAAGTGCCCCTATTATGGATTTTTGAAAATTACCTTTCATGCAGTGTGTAACACAGCTCTAAGTGAATGAAAACATCCGGCAATGTTTTAAATCTGAAAGTGCACCGTGTATAAAGTTATTGTCTCTCAAAAGAAAGAGTCAACTCTGAATCACTGAAATGAGTCGTTTTTAAAACGAATCCCAAGCCGGTTCATGTTGATGTCAACATGAAACATTAACATATTGCCTGCCCACTTGTTGGTCTTTTCGTGTTGGTCTGAATGAAAATGTATTCATTGCCACTTAGATGGTGCTTTTGGAGCAGTAAAAATAGCTGTTTCCCCGATAACGCTGTACACAAAGCAGCACTGCGCTCACAAACACTGCCTTATCAGGCATTACAGGCATGATGAAATAAAAATGAGATGAATTGGACCAATCACCGCAGATTAGCGTCACGCAATGGAGGGGTTTGGAAAAATTAATTGTTGAGCGAATCGTTTAGGAGTCGTTGAGCAAGTAAGGTAAAAATAATTGCATATTATAAGACAATGAAAGTGTTTTTTGACCTTGTATGCATGTCAGCCTGTTGTTGGGGACTCCCAAAACCAAAATATGAACCTTTCATTACCCATAATAGGGGCACTTTATACTTTTCCAAGGTTCTTTAATAACAGATGTACAACATGACTGTACTGAACACCACTGAATGTGTGTGTGTAACAAGGCCAATTGTGCATTAAAACTGTTCAGTTTAATCACCATTCTATATTTACTCTTTTCCCACCAGGGTTTTTGAAAAAAGTTGCCAGCCACCGCCAGCGTTTTTGCTGATTTTCACTAAAAATTTCATGGCCTCCAGAATATTTTGTTGTATGAATATCTGAACATGCAATACAGTAAAATAAAGATCAGACCCTTTACTTTCAAAAAAAAAATCTGTTTTATTCTAGATTCAAGCTTTGTTTTTTATCAACACTTGAATGCAGGTAGGTTTCATAAAAAAGCAACATTTTGAGCAAAAAGCTGAGAAAATCAAATTTTTATCAAATACTACATCTGGATCATATTCATCAGTAATTTTATCAGAGCAAAGATGCAGTATGCTAGATGGCTTCCATCAGCACTCCCAAAGCTTGCACAGTCCTTTACGACTTCATGGATTGACATTTCACTCTGTAACATTAGGCAGTTTTCATATACAGTATATGCGGTTAGTGTTGATGATCTTATTCTTTTTCATGTGCATATGCATACATATGAGATCGCTCGTTTCTGTGTCCTCTTGGTCTGTGTTTTTGATCTGCGCTTTCAAGACTCATTCAGGAGATGCATAATAGCGCCCCCTAGCCTATAACAATGAGAACGCGGAAACCCGGAAAATTCCATGTTTGGCAGGGAAGAGTTGTCTCATGAATAACAGAAAATTATGTGTTTGGCGTGGAAAGAGTTAATGCGCTGCTTTATTTGATGCGCGCACACACACACACACACACACACCCCACTTGCACACAGAGATCGGAGATCGCACTGTGCAAACAGAAACATTCAGGAGCTCATAAACTTGTTGTCAGCACTGCCTTGCGACTTTTATTAATCGATACTGAATCGCTACATTATATTTCTCAGCAATGAGGGGGGTAAAATCGCTGTTTTTTTATGAAACTAAACTCAGCTTCATTGTTTGTACAGAGAGACAGATGCAAGCAATTCACACAAGCAACTTAAATCTCTCTCTCTCTCTCTCTCTCTCAAAATGGCCATATTTGAGAAAAAAAGTTGAGTAGTTTGCATCACTGGATATATTAACATT